CAGAACAGAACAATAATAACCTTTTAGCTATCCCCATCTTTATAAGAAAAGGGAAAAAAGGTTTCTGTTTATTTTCCTAATTTGCATTTAAATAGATTCTTTTATTATTTATTATATATTAAGAACCAGACTTTTATATTTTCACTGAATTTTAGCCAGCATTGAAGAAATTACTCAGCTTAGTTAAAAGCAAACCATGAAAAAAAAAAAAAAAACCAAGTAGCTTACATATAACATCTGTCTTCTTAATGAGACAAAACTATGTTGGTTTCCAAACAAAGAGATAAAATCTCATTATTTAGACATGAACTTTCCTCTTGGAGGAATTTTGTTGTTATATTACACTTTGTTGAACCTACCATGTATAGCTTCTCAGAAAAACAAAAACAAAGAGGTCAGAATGTTTGAAACCACTAAGGAAATATTTTTAATTTTTCTATTTTTCTTTAGATTTTTGGGTCAGTCTAATGCAAGTGTCTTCCAGAGAGCCCAATTCAAATAGATCAAAACACAAAGTGTCATAGCTGGAAGGGAGCTTGGGTAGGGTCAGTTTGTCTGGAGACTAGCAACCCCAGAGCCTGTGGTTAGCTCACTCATGCATGCATGCATTCATTCATTCATTCACAAAGTATTTATTGAGAGAAGTGGAGCAGTTTGAACAAGCTGTCCCCAGGCATGATGGGGCAGGGGTGAGAGAGGACGAGGCTGGGTATGGGAGAGTGAATGGCCCTATGTGAGGGATGGCACCCTCAGCTGGCACCCCAGAGGGCCTTGGTAGCCACCTTTTGTGGGGTAATTGCCCTGTGGAGCCCAGTCACAGGAGGTCCTACCACCACATGCAGGCATGCAGGAAGCAGGGCAGAGTCCCAGGAGCCTGGCTCAAGGTGCATTCAGTGAATGTGAATTGGGTAGAATGAATGAGTTCTAAACCCTGGGCTTCACTTCTTTGAACCTGTTCCCCATCTGTAAAGTGGGCCCAATGGAGGCAGTGAGATGAAGTGTTCAGATGGACACTTTGAATTCTAACACACCTGACAAATGTCAGTGCTGAGACTAAGAAACTGCCTTTTTCTGGATATCAAACAATGCCAGTTTTCTCACTGACATTCTTTTATTCAAAAGTTAGAAATGTAAACTATAGCAGTAAATATGCTTTCTGATCCAGGAGACTCAATCAAACTATTTTTTATTTTAGTGGAAAATAATACATTCCATAAGTTTCCAAATTGACCCCATTGTAAACCAAGATGTTTACCACTATTCTGGGTACTATTTATCCCTTGCAAATGAAGAAGCCCAGAAATGAAGAATCCTGCCCACAGTTTTACATCAGGATAGTGACAGAGCTAGGCCTGGAACCAGCCTAGGCCTTATTCCACTTGACTGTACACACACATGTAAGTGCACACACATGTATAAACCACACGTATACACACACCGCGCACATGCACCCACAGGCACTCATTCTCTCTCTGCAGCCAGTTTCACTGAATGCAACAGAAATGATGGTGACCCTTGCAGACAGCCAGGTTCACAAGGGTGAGGATTATTTACCATTAGGCAGCAGATTCAGGCCCAGAGAAGACTTGAGACTGTTCCTTAGGAAACAGCCATCTTGGAGAGACCCAGGTTCCTGCTATCACATGAGACCATCTTGTTGGCAGAGCAGGTCTTTTTCTGCCTGAGATGCATGTCACCTCTTGGTAGCGCTGCCTCCAGCACAGCTGGACTTGCCCAGAATGCCTGGCTGCCAGAGAGCAGCTTGTGTGCTCCAAGGTGAAACACGGATGTGGGTGGAATGGCATGGGCACAGACATCTGCGAGAAACCCATCCAACAACAAGGCAGACTGCTCTTCCAGCACTCTCCGTGCTCGCCTGCCTCTGCCTTTTGCTTTTCTTAGTGCTTTCTGCTCTAACGTTGCTGGCCCTTGTTCAGCAATCCTTGCTCTGCAGTCCAGCAGGGACCTGGCACCAGGCAATCTAATCATTCTGGGGTTAGCATGTAATTCCGCTGTTTATTTACATATCTAAATAGTCATTTAATAGAAAATACAGGGAAGGTCACTTCTTTTCCATGGGGATATCCATGAAAGAACAGAGAGTGAGTACTTTTCATCACAAGTTCCAAGGACTTCAGACATTTCAGATTTTCATTAACTTTATTGATTCTTTTGTCAATAAGGAAAAGAGACGAGAAATTATTTTAAAAAGGGGTTGAGAGGCAGAATTTTAAAGATCAAAACTTAAAGGATGAGATTCCTCTCAGCACATGAGGTGCTTGTCTTCTTTCTTCCCTTGTCCTTAGTAACAGTGAAACCAAACCAGCCAGCCCTGACTGAGTGCCTGTGGCATGGGGCTGGCCGTAGCTGTGGACCCAGTACAGTGCCCAGAGCATACTGACCTGGCCCCTACAGGAGCCCCAGCCTGAAACACCCTCTGACCCTCAAGAATGAAGAATGATACCTCCGTCCTTCCTTTATTATCGTATAGGCAGCTGGAAGTGATCTGGGTAATTCAAAAGGGAGCATCGTCTCCAAATCATGCACGTTTGCCTTTGGAAGGTGGTGTGTGTGTGTAAGTGTGGGTTGTTACAGCCTCCGTGTCTCTTTCCTGACCTCCAGGCACCTAATTGTAACTGCTCACAGGACACCTCTGCTTGAAACTCTTGTAAGCCTCTCAGTGACACATCTAAAACAAATCCAACTCTCTCCCCACCCCCACCCCAGCTTCCTCTTTAGGGAGCACCTGTGGTGGCACCTTTCCTTCGAAGGACCCAGGATACCATGCCAGATACCCAGCTGTTCTTCCTAGCTCTTCCTTGCCCGCCCTCCTGAAGCAAATGTGAGACCTCAATCCCATACCTAGTAGCCCTCTAGTCGACCCACTTCTCAGACTCCACTGCCGTTCCTCTAATCCAAGTTTCCAGGTGCTCATCCTTGCTCGCCAGGATTACTGTTACCAGCCTCCTCGCCATTCTCTCTGCCCTGCCTCACCCCTCCAATCCAATCTTGCACTGTCAGAGCTCCTGCCACTCTTCGCCACTCAACTAAAACCCTGCACTGACTTCTGGCTGCCTACAGTACATGGTCCAGGTTTCCTAAAACCTGGGTCCAGGTTTCCTAAAACCCAGGGCTCTCCGTGGTCAGCCTGCCCATCTACCTTCCCAGCCACATCTCCTTACATCAGGCTCCAGAAGCACAGCTGGGATGCTTTCAGAGCCCTTGACATACTGGGCTGCCCCACAGTTCTGCCCCTTTCATCTCCCCTTTTCCTGGAGCTCTCATCCCACTCATCCTCACCTGGCTAATTCCTACCTGAGTCAAAGGTCCCTCAGGTGTCACCTCCTCTGGGAAGCCTTCTCTGCTCATCCCTGTCCCCATACCATCTAACCTACCTTAACAGACCATATTGGCCTTTATTTTGGTAGTTTTTTTTTTTCAAGCTGTGATTTTAATCAAGTCACATGTCAAATTGTATTAATATATCTGCTTTCCACTTTGGCCTTTAAACCACTTAAACTCAACCACATTTTAGTCATTTTTGCCTTTCTGTTGCCTTGGGCAGTACCTGCCACATAGTGAGTGTCCTGTAAATAGTGGTTAAATGTAACCGAAAAAGTAAATTTACTTTTCTGTTTAAAGGGAAATAGACAGTGAAATGAGGCCACAATTTTGCCTTCAGGAAAGATGGTGCGATCTTTGCAGCTTCTCAGCCAGCACTGGTGCTCAGTTCCTTGCTGCTCCACTCTGCCACTGACCGCAGCCTGTAGCCCATCCCAAGTCAGGAGCACCAGTTCCAAGTATGGCAGTCCTCTCCTCCAAATGCTTCACATCTTTCCTGACTATATCACTTGGCTGCTTTGGGCAGAAAACCAAGTCTAGCTTAAACTGGCTAAAGTAATAAAAAGGATTTCTTGGCTGAAGTCCTAAGGAAATCCAGAGACAAAGTGGAAATCAGACAAGGTGCAGTCAAGGCTCTGTTTCCCACCATTGTTTTGGCTACACTCTTTCTCTGCCCATTGGCTTTACCCTTGAGCTGCCAGCAGAATGGCAGTAGCAATTTGAGATTCAGATTCACCATTGACATCACAGGAAGATAAATTGTATCTAAAGCACTAGGGTTCTATTTCTCAGAAGCTTCCAGCAAAGTTCCCCTCATGTTTTATTGTACTGGATTGGATAGCATTTCTATTTCTGAGACAATCCCATTAGCTGGGAAGGTCTGGCTTAGGTCTGGTGTCCTGAGAAGGGATAACCCTTAGAGCAATCAGGCCCTCCCTTGGAACTGAGGTTCTGATCAGCTCCCCTTAAAGCGTGCGGGCTGCCTGGGAGTGGTGGAAACCTAACAAAACCAGGGTATAGAGCTCGAGGGAGGGAAAATGGCTCAATGCCCACTGTGTCAGGCAGTACTTTCTCCACTCTTGAAATCCTCTCTGGTTCCTGCTGGGTTAGAGCAGAATTCCTGGTGAGCTGTGGATTTGCAAGAAAAGTTGACTCAGTTCAGAGTCAATTCAACAGTGTGTGTGGTAGAGCAGCATGTATGTGAGGCAGGGGAATGTTAGGATGCCCTCCCTGGTGCCTTCCATTAGGGGTTTCTCTCCTCTATTCATGTGGTAGGGTATGGATTAAGCCTCCCAGTTTGTCCCCTCACCACCTGTCCCTAAAGCAAGCATAGGGCCCTTTTAAGCCTTTCTAAAATTTTCGGAAAGGGGAAGTCAGTAGGGATAGTAGGCAGCTCCCTTCCCCATCTCCCTGATTCTCTTGCTTCTCTTCCCTGCTTTCCTTAAGCTCTATAGGGAAATACAGAGGCTGGTGGTGAGTCCTTACGCTTAAATTGGGGCTCTCCTGGGGAAGCAGGCTGTGAGCCGCCCCCACTCTAAGATGACTAGTTTTCACTGGGTACCAGGAGGAGGGCTCTTTTTCTTCTAGTAGCTCTGAAAATTTTGCACAGTTGGACCCATGACCGTTCTGATTACTCTGTACCTTCTTGTCCCCTCTAGATGTTCGACTGGATAAGCCACAACAAGGAGTTATTCCTCCAGAGCCATACAGAGATTGGAGTCAGCTACCAGCACGCCCTAGACCTTCAGACGCAGCACAATCATTTCGCCATGAACTCCATGGTGAGTGGGTGGCCAGCTGGTAGCACTGCTGGGAGAGGGAGGAGGGGAAGTGTGGGGAGGGGTGGGTGTGGAGGGGCAGTAACAGACTTCCAGCCTGAGTAAGAACGAGGAGCTCCAAACATGTGGACCCTTTAGTATTGCATTTGCGAGGATATGGATGTGTGCGAGACAGCCATTCCCATAGTAGATTATGGCCCATTTCTGCCTCTGGACCCTGCTTTACACAGTGAAAGTAATGTGCTGGGGCTGTTTAAAGTATTAGCTCAACACAAGACTATCAGATCCACTCTGCTGACTTAACCAACATTTTTCAGTCCCTAGCTTGTGTGAATCACTGAGCTGGGATGGTGAGGGGCCTCAGGCTATGGCACATTGGAAATGGTTGAGTGAATTGGGGCTGTTTGGACAGTAGAAGAGGAGCCTTAAGGGACACATGATTATTGCCTTCAGGCATAAAGTTCTGCCTTGGAGGGAAGAGGGTAGAATTACTTTGTGTTGCTCTAGGATGCAGACCTGTCCAGGGCACAGCAGTTTGAGGAGAACTCAGGACATAGCATGGAGGTTTGGAAGGGGTAGGTGGAATGCAGCGGTACTTAGTGAGCAACCCAGGGTGGGCAGTATTCAAGCAGATACTGAATTCAGAGAGGGATATTTGCCAGCTGGTTAGGGAATGCACCTTTCTATGCTTCAGTTTCTTCATCTGTCAAATGGGAATAATAGTAGTTACCTTATAGAGATAGAGTTGTTGTGAGGATTCAGTGAGTTTCTTGTAGAGCAGCTAGAACTGTGCCTGGTATGTAGTAAGTTATCAGTAAATATTAGTGTTATGGTAATAGTGATGATGTAGGAGTCTAGTCCAGATAACACCTGTGACCCTGCATAAACCTAACACTTTGGGGTACTGTTTTTTTTCCATGTAGTCACTCCAATACTTTATTTCAAAATCTTGTCTGCACCTTGAGCCCATCCATTGTATGTGAAATGCCCACAGCCTAATTATGCTTCAACTTACTTCTCTCCCTGCTCTGCCAGTGATTCCTGCTTATGCTACTGGTCCAGAAGAGTAGCTCCACCATTCCCCTTATATCTGAACACCAAAGATAACTTATCATTTTAGCCATTGGTTCTGGGAGGTGGGACAAATATTAGAAAACCATAAACGTGGAGGCTCACAGAAGCCAGGGACAAATTTCATTTTCTGCCAGGTTGTTTTAAATATGCTGTGCACTGGACTTCACATACTGAAGAAGAAAAAGTCTGGCCTCAAGCTGTTTAGCATTTGGTTGGGGGGATAAACCATGGTGCAGCTTGATATGTGTCATGGCAGAGAGAAGGTGAGTTAACTAAGCATCTTAAAATCTCAGTGGTTTAAAATAACAGGGGTTTATTTCTTGTTCCTACAACTTGCATGTTACTGGCTGGTAGTAGATCTGCTCATCGTAGTTGCTCAGGGACCCAGGATGATGGAGCAGCCACCGTCTCAGATGCGGCCAGTTGTCTTAACAAAGCCTGTAGCCAAGCACATGCTAGTTCTGAAACCTTCCACCTAGAGGTGACAAATGTCACATTTCATTAGCCAACACCAGGCACACTGCCACATCTAACATCCTGGGAGGAGATGTATGATCTACCATGTGCTGGGGAAGAGAGAATGGGATATTTGTGAATAGCCCAAATGACTAGCACAGGGTACTGTTGTAGGGTGTAAGGTCAAGATGAACATGAGATTTATATAGAAAGATAACTGGCTACAGAACAGAAGATTGTGGAACCCAGGCAGGGAAAACATCAACATTGATTTTGTTATCAATTTTGGCTACAGCAGTCTTTTGTCTTCATCTAAATGCAAAGATTCATTCCCTTTCAACTAGCCTCCAATAATTACATCTCAGTGCTGGCTCACTTTAGTCACAGAGGAGCAAAGCTATTGATCACAGGTGATTAAGGATGTGGACTCAAACCTAGTCAAGTTTGATTATCTGTGTGGCTTCTGGATTTCTCCTAGTGAATTTTATAATTCTGTGCTAGAATTTTCATGGCACCCAACTGCCTGGCCCTAAGGCAAACAAACTTATTTTAATAAGAAGAAAAGACAAGCATAATTAGGGAGGTAAGCCTGCCACCAAGACCCTCAATGAACTACAAAGCTAAATAAAAAGAGCCTTTGGCTTTGAATTATTGGCACCACTACTCTTCACTGTTAATATGGATAACTGAGAATTAGTGGCACATTAAAAACCTTTCCTCTGACAAATTTACTTTTGAAATCTCCATTTTCAGAACAAAAATAAGGGAGGAAATTTACTGAAGGGAAGCATCTTATGAAACTGGGAGAGAAAGAAGAGATTTAATAAAAACAGCCAATTCATGTGTTCCAGCCCATCTGGTAGTCCCACTGCTGTCAAAGCGTGGAGCACTCAGAGGCCTCTTCAGACTGATCAGGCTGGATCTTCTCTCTGGCTGCAGGGCAAGGGCAGGGAAATCCCAGGGTTGTTTGATCAAACTGCCGGGGCACCAGTGTGTTACAAACACAGCTCTGTGCCTTTGTTAACTGGGAGGTTTACAGGCTTGTTATTAAAAGGAGTTTCCACAAAGAGGGATGTCAGCATCCCAAGCAGGTGAAAGGAGGGAATTACAGACTCCTTTTCTCTGGCCTCAGTGATAGATGTTGCTACCAAGAAACAGATGAATACAAGCAACTACTGCTGGAGCCCAAGGACTATAGGAATGATCTAGTTACTCATGGGAAGTGGGAATGTGGATTGTTTTGTAAATTCACAAAGGCATTTCTGTTTCTGCTCTTGGAAATTATATGCACACCTACACATATGCCCACACATCTGTCCACATTAAGGTACATATAGCATGGTTTGGTGGGTTCTTTGGTATTGAACCCTGTTTTACTGTTAAAATATGCCAATGATTCCTTACCTTTTGGGGAGGTCATGGATCCCTTTACTATATGATGAGGGTTGTGGATCCTCTTCCCAGAGAAATGTATATATGAACAAATTTTTAAGATAATTTCAGGAAATTCAAGGGAATCCTAAGCCTATCTATTAATCTCCCTAGTTTAAGATTCCAAGAACCTCATGACTTCTTATTCATTCATTCCATAAGTAATTAAGGATCAGACATTGTGCTGGATGTAGTCAACAAAAGAGAGATGATCTGTCCCATGGAGGTTGGGGGAGCAGATGTTAAGTATATATCACAAATAAGTATGTAATCCAATCAGTAAGTCTTATGTTGGAACAATCATGTAGCCATCCATATTCTGTTTCTTCATGATAAAGACACCCCCAGGAGTACATACAAACATAACGCAGTAAGGTATACAGAGTATAAATGTGGGGGGGTTGGGTACATTTTTTAATTGACAAGCAGCATTGACTTAATGCTCATTGTTCATTCATTGATACTAATTAATGGTCTTTGAATTAATTCTATAATGTACCAAAGATTTTATAATTTAAAGAAGCCTTTTATATATAGTTTTTAAATACAAATGATCAATTAGTAATTTATCTGTCTTTTAAGTTTTGTTTTCATGTTTCATATACTGGTTATATACTGGTTAAAGACCTAACAAAGGTTGAGGTGACCATTACCAAGAAGTAATCCTATATCATTACGTAATGGGAGAAAAAGCAGAAATTTCCTAAATTTTATCTATGAATTGTTACCAGTAAAGGCTATCAATTATTAATACATGAGTGTAGGAGTGATACTCTGCCAAGTATAGTACATGAGAAACTGAAAGAAAAAGGTTAAAATTGGTTGGTCTTTGCATTTTTGTCATAACATGTTCTTTGCAGTTCCCACTGGGGAATCCTAGTGTTTTGGTCAAAATAACAACAAAAACAATAATAATTATAATAATATCCCACCTACTAATCCCAGTAGGAAAGTATTCTCTGGCTCCTCACAGTGCCTCAGAAAGCCAGGTTTCCCAGTTTTCTGGGCTGTCCTCTTTCTTAATTCAATCTTCTGTTATGAAAGACTTTCTCACAAATTCTCCTTCCTCTGAGTGTGGCCTTCTCCTCTGATGTGAGTGAGTGTGGGCAGATGGAAGCAGGGTCGGGTTGTAATATGCAGCAGAACAATAGTGTAGCCATCCACGTTCTATTCCTTCATGAAAAAGACACCCACAGGAGCACATACAAACATACTGCAGCAGCCTTATTTACAATTTTAATTAGCTGGTTCTTTGGGAAAAAATAAATTGATGATGGTTTCTGCAAGAGTTTTAAAATATGAAATGGTATTCATTTTCTATTATTGTGACTGTGAGGATTCATATTAGTGATATGCTGTGGAGTAGGATCCTTCCTGCTGCAACATGTTTGATAGAGGCTTTAATCCTATTAATTTGCTCACCAGATGCACATATTGCCACTTGATGGTGTGTAAATCAGACTAATTACAGCAAAGCCTGTAATGCTCGCTCTTTGTTTTGAGGGAAAATTACAAATGGTAGGACCAAGGAAAAGTCAGATCAGCTGCAAGAGAAATAAAGATTCTGAAGCAGGACTTTTGCCCCTAGTCTGAGAAGCCTTGTCTGTCACATTGCTTCTTGGCAGCCCTAAACCATGGTTCTGCAGCATTTCCTATAATGAATCTAGTATTTCTAGATTTTGGTATAAATGCACACACATGCTCACATACTTGGTATTATGATATTTAAGTAACCAGTATTTGACCCCATCATAGTGCAAAGCCTCTTAGTAGACACAGAATATGTTTTAAAATAAGAGATCAGTCTTATATGAAATAATCTTTTTTGCACAATTTATTTTCCAAAGAATAAGGTAGTGAGCTTGCTAAAAATGCATATTTCTTATTGGCTTCTAATCCAGTCCTAGAAAATTGTAATCTTTGGGGGATTGGTACCCAGGAACCTGCATTTTTAACAAGTTCCCTAGGTGATTTCTATGTACATTAAAATTAGAGAACTTTTGTTCTGTGGAGATGTATATGTGTGAAATGTCACTCCCTAA